TTATACAAACTGAGCAGGTTGTACTTATGTATTTAGGTGTGTTTATGTAGAGAGAAAGACATACACGTGTAACAACAATTAATGAAAAAGAGGCCATGAATTTGAAAAAGGGGTATATGGAAGAGTTTGGAGAGGTAAAGGAGGGGGTAAATGATGTAATTATATTAAAATCTCAAAAACTAAAAGAAGTATTTTTAAATTTAAAAAGAGGAGTATAACTCAGCAGAAGTGACTTCTTGCTATGTATGAGGTCCTGGAATTTATCTCCAGTACCACATGCATAAATAAAAACTGTGAGCTGGAGGAGCTGGCACATAATGTCTGTAATCCCAGGACTCAGAGAATAGAAGCTGAAGAATCAGAAAAGACCAAGGTATCCTCAGCTAGATAATGAGTTTAAGATAAGCCTGAGTTTTGAGACCCTATTTCAAAAAATAAAAAATAAGTAGGTATATATGTGAAATCTTCTATTTAAGAATCAACTCTTGCCAGGCAGTGGTGGCACACATCTTTAATCCCAGCACTCGGGAGGCAGAGGCAGGCGGATCTCTGTGAGTTTGAGTCCAGCCTAGTCTATAACTGGAGTTCCAGGACAGCCAGAGCTGTTACAGAAAGAAGGCTCTTTCTGAATTAAGGATTACCTTGAGCCTAAGGTTAGACTGGGTTGGAGAGAAGCCCTATCTCAACCTAACATAAAGAAGGTTTGGAAACAGCTCAGCAGGACCCAAGTTGGGATCCCCAGAGCCCACATAATCAGATAAGGTAGCATGTAATCCTAGCACTCCGACACTAACACAGGAGGCAGACACACAAGAATCCTCAGAAGCTGGAAGGCCAGCCTGCCCAGCATAGGCAAAATGGAACAAGAGCTCCTGTCTCAAACAAGGTGGTAGGTGAAAAATGAACACTAGAGATTGTCCTACTTTCACAAATGTGCATGTCTGCATTCATACAAAGGAACACATAAGATTTAAAAAAACAAAATAATAACAAGAACCCCACCCTCTACAACAACACTCTAATTTACTTTTACAGTCAGTTTCACTAACCTTCCAAACCATTAGCAGCAACATTTACATACCTCATGTTTCAATAACACAAATACTACACTCTTCTCAACACTATGACACTAGACACTTATCTACCTCTGATTCTCTCCACCATAGAGTTCCTTTTAGCATGGTTAATTATAAATTTGGTTGTTATAGTTCAAGACATTCCCAACCACAAGTCAGTCTTTCCAACTGAGTCAGAATGCCTATATTGTCACAAAATTTTCAGAAATTTGCACTTGATATAGACTTACATATCAATGCAGACATTTTCTTCCTTCATGCTTTAAACCTTGCTTCTTTCTTCTGAACTAAAGTCGCCAATTTCTCATTATAAAAATAAAAAGAGCCTTTTTTTCTTTTTTTTTTTTTTTTTTTTTTTGAGACAGGGTCTTTCCATGTCACCCTGGGTGTTCTGGAACTCACTATGTAAACCAAGTTAGTCTGGAACTCACAGAGATCCACCTGCCTCTGCTTCCCAAGTGCTGGGTCCACTAGGCCCAGCTTGGAAACAGTTGGGTTTGTGGAGTTTTGGGGAGTTTTTTTGGTTCTGGTTTTTTTGTTTGTTTGTTTGTTTGTTTTTTGTTTTTGGAGGGTTTTTCGGGGTTTGGTTGGTTGGCTGGCTTTTCAAGACAGGGTTTTTCTGTGTTTAGGCCTGGCTGTCCTGGAACTCGCTCTGTAGACCAGGCTGGCCTTGAAATCACAGAGATCTGCCTGTCTCTGCCTCCCAAATACTGGGATTAAAGGTGTGCACCACTACCACCAGTGGAAACTGGGTTTTTTTGCTGTTGTTTGCTTTGGGGTTTTTTAGGTAATAAAAACCCTAAATCAGCTGAGTAACATGGCACCTACCTTTAAACCCAGCACTGGGATATGGAGGCAGGCAGATCTCAGTGAGTTCTAGGCCAGCCTAGTCTACGTATCAAGTTCCAGGCCAGCAAAAGCAACACAGAGAATCACTGTCTCAAATATAAATTAAATAAGATAAAAAGTCTAAGTCAAATCAAAACATCAGACTATTAAATCAAGATCAACATTAGAGCCTAACATTGCCTTCAAAGCCAGAATTTATATGGGTTCTTAACCAGAGGTCTATGGACTCCTCAGGGCTAAAAGGTAATTTTATGGAGCCCCTTAAATCGCATGCAAAGTATTGTACATGCCTTTTTCTGGGGAGAGGGTCCATACCTTTCATCAGAGTTTCAAAGATATCTGTGACCTCCAAAAGTTTAAGAAGTGCTCTAGAGAGAAAGCAAAGACAAGCAACCGTGATTAAAGAGTAAGCCCTGCTCAGGCCCTCAGGAGCGCCTCATGTGCTCCTGTCTACATAGTACTGAGATCAGGTCGGAAGACACAGATGGGATTCACTCAATCAAATGCAAATTTACTGAATTAACAAATATAATATGATGGAAGGAGAAACCCTTAAACAAGTACAATATCCATAAAGGAAAGTCATAGAATTAGTGACTTATTCCAGGATTTCAAAAGGGTACAAATAAGAAAATATCAAGATAGCCCACTAATTTTTAATCTTTCATCTAAAAATTAATTTTCTGTGTATACTTTGTAACATGTACAACAGAACTCATACAGATAACTAAAATGAGGTAGTTGCTTAGTTTTTCTTTTTAGATAATCATTAGGAAACCACTGAAAATTCATTTCAGCAAGTAAAATAACATGAAAACCCACTAATGAAGTTGAGATCCAATAGTTAAGAAACATTTGCTGTCAAAAAAAGTGATGTCCCCTGAAAAAACTAAATTATAGGGACTTTTTCTACACACACTTCACTTATATCCTTTAAAGAAAGACAAAAAAACTCAACAATTATTAAGGCTTTTTCAAGATTAAAATGTTGGGGGGGGGAACCACAGGAGCAGGTGTCTGAGGACACCTGAAGAGAGCATCAGATCCCATAGAGCTGGTGTTCAGGTGACTGTGGAACCAAACTCAGGTCCTCCAGAAGAGCAAGTGCTCTTAACCACTAAGCCATTTCTCCAGACACAATTATCAAGTTTTAAGAAAAAAGGAAAAGTTTTCAGGGCTGGAGAAATGGCTCAACAGTTAAGAGCACTGGCTGCTCTTTGAGAGGAGCCAGGTTCAATTCCCAGCACATGTGGAGACTAACAACTGGCTGTAACTCTTCAGGCACACAGACATACATACAAACAAAATACCAGTACTCATAAATTAATATTTTTGAAAAATCATCTCAATGCAACAAGTAAAACAACAAGAAGAAAATAGAAAAACAGGCATGATGGCACATGTCTTTAATCCCAATATTTGGGAGGCAGAGGTAGGAGGATCTCTGTGAGTTCCAGGCCAGTTAGAGCCACATAGTGAGATCCTGTCTCAACAAATAAATATAAGTTTTTAGTTTTTACTAAGTTTGATTAGTACCAGGTTCCCAGGATAAGGTGACCAAAACACTTAACAGCAAAGATACTTGTGAAAACAAACAATAATCAACATAGTTTCTTAATTCTTCCTAAAAAGAATTACTGTCCTTACAGAATAATCACAGAAGTGTAAGTCTACGTATAAGAAAAGTACTATGATTACCAAAATTTACAACTCAAAATAGGTCCTGTGGTTCAGAATGTCAGCAAGAAGTGACACCAAGGAGTGCTGGAGAAATAGCTCAGCGGTTAAGAGCATTTATTGCTCTTGTAGAGGACCAAATTCTGTTCCCAGCACCCACATCAGGCTGCTTACAACTGCCTGTAACTCCAGCTCCGGAGATCCAACATCCTCTTCTAACATCCTCGGGCATGCACCACACATTCCCACAGACGCATACATGTACACAACAAAAACAGACCTTAAACAAACGAACAAACAAAAATAACACCAAGAGACCCGGGAGGTCCTTCCCAATGACAGACAGCACAAGTAAAATCCTAACGTTTTCAAGCATACTTCATATATTTCCAAAATCCTACAGCTATCCGTCCTCTGTAGGGGGAGGAAAACAGTCTCAAGAGAGGGCAGTTTTCCAGAGAAAACTCAAAAAAACTTTTAGGGCTAATGTGTTCGTCATTTTACAAACCCTTGGAGCTGCCTCTGCCCCAGACTTCCACCGGTAAACCTATTTTAAGGCCTCTCCTTGCTTTCAAAATTCGAGTACGGGGGCGTAACCCCACCTAGTTAAAAGAGAATGGAGACATTTTCTGGGTTACGTTTGCGACATGTTCAGGCACACATGCAAAAACGCCAATATATGCTAAGTGAGCAATCTCAGCTGTGGGACGAGAGGGAAACACATCAATCTGAGAAGAAAACGTAATTTGGGGTCCGCATGGGCCACGGGGGAAGGACACTGACGTAATGCAAATCTAATGAGAAAGGAGAAAGGTGAAAAAGGATGAGAGATAATAAAGCAATGAGGAGAGGGCCGAAACAACAGGTAAAGGCAGCAATAAAATCCTGAGGAGAAACGGGGTTTAGGGCAGGCCTAAAAAAGGAGGCACAAAACTACAACGGAAGCCAGGAAAGAAGTATAAGTGCCTAAAAGAAAAACACGTAGATGGCGGCACAGGACCCCGTGCGGAATTCGGGCTCCAGAAAACCCCACCTCAGCCTTCCCCGCGTAACGGTACCTTCAGCTTGTGCAGCTCCACCGTCTCGGTCGCCATCTTGCTGCGCCTTAACTCCACCAGACACAGCTCTGCCCCCGCCTCCAGGAGTCTAGGCTCCGTCAACCAATTGCTGTCGCTCTTACTCCGACCTCACACCAACGTTTCTTCCCATTGGTCAACGGCGGCGTCGCTCTCACGCCTCTTGGCCACTTTCCAGAACTCACTGAAAAGCTGGATCCAGGGAAGGGCGGGGTTTGCACAGCCTAACGATAGAAAAATTGACCAATTGCACGTCCCCATTGCATAACCAACCAATGATTGGGGAAAGCGGGGATTCTGCTCCACCAATAGGAAAAGCGCAGACGGGGCCAAAGGCGGCCACTTCCTGGAGACCACAGGTGTGGGAGCCTTCGCTGTGCCCCAGCCGGACCGGCTTCTGAAGCTAGCAGGTAGGGGCTGTGCGGAACTTGGAAAAGGTTACCGAACGAAGCTGATGGGAGTACTGGGAAGGGCGGCGGCCAATACGAGTTCCCGTGAAGAAAGCCTTAAACGACTTGCGAAAGTGGGACTCTGGGAGGAGCATGGGCGGACTAGGTACCTGATTTGGGGAATTTAGGGACAGGCAAGAGCAGGTAAAAAATAGGCATTAGTTAGCAAAGTTTAAATGCCAAAAGCGCCCCCAGAAGGGTGACGGCTCCATTGCTTCAGGGACTGAGCTCAGGTCCCTTCCTAGACTAATTAAACAACTGGGTAAGTTCTTGCAGCGCCCCACGCTTCACAGAAGGGCTGAAGTTACTGGCTGTTAACCTGCCATAAGGGTGAGAGACAGAATAGACAAGCCCCAGAAAAAGATGGGGACTAGAGGCAGCTTTACTCTCAGTACCTTATTGGTCCTTTCATAACTGCATAGCTCTCTTATAGAACTCTGAGTGTGGGTGACCTCTTATGATTTAATAACTTCAAGAAAGTAAATTAAAAATACTCCCGACTGCCCTGATGCTTCGAGTGAGTGTCACAGTCTAAACTCACTGCTTCATGCTCTAATAGAAGTGCAAAGATCGGAATGAAGGAACAAACCACTGTGTGGGTGTGCACAATAATGATGGCAGGTATGGAAGTCAGGACAGCTCGTAGGAGTCTGCTTCCACTGTGTACATCCTGGAGATCCAACTCAGATCTTTAAACTTAGTGGCAAATGCCTTTTCCAGATTAGCCATTTTAAAGACCCTCTTGCTCTTCTGTTTTGGAGCAATGATCTCACTCTAGCCCAGGATAGCCTCAAACTCAGGACAGTCCTCATGGCTCAACCTCCCAAGTAGAGGGATGACAAGCATGAGCCACCACACCCAGCTGCTTCCGTCTTCTCAAGTTTTAACAAAGTCTTCAGTTTTTTTCCTTTGTTTTTTGTTTTGTTTTGTTTTGTTTTTGCATGATAGGGAAATTCTTTCATTCCCAAGAGTTCAGGGGATTTTGGCTTTTCAGGAGACAACTGGGGAACAAGCTCAATCAGGGGTTAAGAGGAAATTGAGTTGGACTCCTGCCTGATCCCTCATTGTGGTAGGATGAATGTGGGGGTGGCACACAGCGAAGTGAACCCCAACACTCGAGTGATGAATAGTCGGGGCATCTGGCTGGCCTACATCATCTTGGTAGGACTGCTGCATGTGGTTCTACTCAGCATCCCTTTCTTCAGCATTCCTGTTGTCTGGACCCTGACCAACGTCATCCATAACTTGGTGAGCACTAAACCACACCCTTGTACCCAACCCAGGTCTATCCCAAAACAAAATAAAGTCACCAACTGTTTGGGAATGTATGTCTTCCTTTTGGGATCTTGGCATTACTCTTGCCCCAAGGACTACTTTCCAGCCCTCACACTGTTCCTTTCCTTCCTCCCAGGCGATGTATATCTTCCTACACACAGTGAAAGGGACGCCCTTTGAGACCCCTGACCAAGGAAAGGCTCGGCTTTTGACACATTGGGAACAGATGGACTATGGACTACAGTTCACCTCCTCCCGAAAGTTCCTCAGCATCTCTCCTATTGTACTGTGAGTCTGGGGTAGAGGAGATGCTGGGTCACCAGTGGCTCTACGAACCAAGGAAAATGTACTAGGGGTGGGGAAACGGCTTAGTCAGTCAGGTTCTTCCCACACAAGCATAAGGACTTGAGTTTAATCCCCAGCATATATGTAAAAGCCAAATATGGCCACACACAACCATGGGTGCCTATAATTCCAGAACTGAAGAGTTGGAGACAGGAAGATTCCTAGGGCTTGCTAACCAGCTAAAGTACTGCACTTCAAAGAGACCCCAGATTGAAGAAAAGAAAAAAAAAAAAAAAGGTGGAGAGCAATCAAAGAAGATTCATATTGCCCTGTAGTCTGCAAGCACACCCACACAGGAACATGTACCTGCACTCACACACACACCCTACTGTATGTGTACAGGACTAGTATACTAGTCCCAAGCCTACAGAGAGTATTACAAAGTACAAGATAGTAGTTAAGCATTCCATGCTGGTTCCATGGTAATAAGGAAAGGAAGGAGGGACTGAAAATAAATCAAACTCCTATATGAATCCAAGTGATTTTACAGTCCCAAAAGAAGCAAATAAGTAGCTGGGCACCTTTAATCCCAGCAGTTGGGAGACAGAGACAGGGAGATCTCCGTGAATTCAAGGCCAGCAGCCTAGTCTCCAAGAGCTAGTTCCAGGACAACCAGGGCTGGTACACAGAGAAAGAAACCCTGTCTCAAAAAATAAAACAAAGCAAACAAAAAGCAAATAGTTAAAGGCAGAACTGATTAAAAAGTAAAACTAATTTGAGGAAAGGAATCAAAAAGGCTCCAAAAGTAATACAGGGCAAAACAATTTTGGCTGCCGTTTCCAGCTTATCATTAACAACTAGCAAATGGGCTGGGGCCTTGCTTGGTGGTAGAGCCCTGGGTTTGGTCCTCAGCTTGGGGGGCGGGGACAATAATTACTGATGTATAGTCTCTAGTTACAGATGCCTTCTGATCATTTAAACACTTAATTTAGCTGGAGTAGTTCTGGACTACAAAGACTATATATGCAATAAAACTAGTGATTCAAAATAGAAAAGATGATCACAAGAAAGGCATGAATGTGGGTATGAAAAACCAATCTTTGTCATCCTGGTTTTTTTTCTCCCTAGCTACCTACTGGCCAGCTTCTACACCAAGTATGATGCTGCTCACTTCCTCATCAACACTGCCTCACTGCTCAGCGTACTGCTGCCTAAGCTACCCCAATTCCATGGGGTTCGTCTCTTTGGAATCAACAAATACTGAAAGACGAGTTGACAGTTCTGCGGGCATTGAGGGAAAGCACTGGAACAAAGAGATATAATGGCTTTCCCTTCTCCATGCTCTCTTCTGATCTTGGAAGTCTGGGAGACAAGAAAAACCTTTCTGAACTCCAAGAAGGAAGAAATTGGAAACTGGGATTCCTGAGCCCAGCCTTAATAGGGCCAAGATTGTCTGAATCAGGAAAGGTGGATGAGGTGAAGGGCCACACCACTCTCCTCTGTACAGCAAGAAGCCATCCACACTTGGGCAGCTTGTCTGATGATTCTGTTTCCATGTCTCCCAAACCTACCACCTTCAAGTTCTGTTTTGCTGTATATTTTCCTTAAAATAAAGTCTTTTCAGTTATGACTGAAATTTGATAAGCCAGAAGAATAGAGAGATGTTCTCAGTGCGGGAGAGGAAATATAGAATCCTGACTTACTATAAAAGATTTAAGCAAATTTTTATCACTACTCCTTTGATCCAATACAAGGTAGCCTTCACTCTCAGGTAACAGCAAGGAAAGAATTCTCAAATAAGAAAAAAGTGCTCCTGAGCTAGGTGTGGTAGCACAGACCTATAGTCCTAGCCCTCAGGAGGCAGAGGCAGAAGAATCACTGCAAGCTGGAGGCCAGCCTGGTCTACACATAGTAAGACTCAGTCTCCAAAGGAAACAGAAAAGAACTCATAACTACATGAGCAAAGAAAAGAAGAAAGATATAAGTTGCCAGTTATATTATTTATAGAAAGATAATCCCCTGGCTTTAAATAGATATGTACATACAAATATGAACAAACTTAAAAAAATACAAACCCTTGGCTCACAAGGGGCCCTCTGGTAACCCCTCCATTCTTCCCCCTCATCCAAGGGCACAGGGCGTAAGTCTGCTTTTTAAAAATTAATTAATTTTGGCCATCCTTGCAAAAACAAGCCTGAAGTTAGGTGGTATCCGATAAAGTGAAAGTCAGAGAAAAAATTCAGTTTCCACTCTGAATTCTGTATCTCCAAAATTAGGGCTACATGCTTTTTCTCTTAGCTAGTACATCAGAGTAAAGGGGGAGGAACCCCAGAAATGGGTTAAGAAATAAGATACACTCATTTAAAAGGGGGTGTGTTTCATTTGCTCTGAGAGCAAATAATAAAGGCATACGAGCCCAGAGAAATCCCCAGTTCCCACACCTTAGGAACGCACTGACAGGACTAGGTCCAACCCTAAGTTCTTTGCTCTGGCCACCTCCTATTTCTTTGGTATTGTCAGAAGACAAGATTCAGTTCCTAGGTGTTGGAGAAGAGCGAGACTAGGTCAAGGACTTCCTCTAAGTACTGCGTGAAAAATTTAAATTTTTCCCTTTTTAAAGTATTTAAAAAATAAACAAATCAAATTCCATCCTGTGCTGTACACAGCCCTTTTGACTCCCTGACATGGATTTGAGGAAGGAAGAGAAGGGTGTCAACGTTGGAAGGGCCGCCTCACTTTCTTCCGCCGTTTAGGTTTGGCTTCTCCCTTGGGTACTGTACTGTTGGGCTTGGAGGTCGAAGTGGCCCCAGGGCCAGGCTGAGGTGCAGCAAAGAAGTTCCCATTGGACATCTGTCCTGGGGGTACTTGAAAGATCCGGCTCAAGAAATCCTGCAGGTCAGCAGGAGGGGCCTCTGGAGTGGCCCTGAGGGAGAAAAGATAAAATGAGGCAGGAGCCATAAAATTAACTACACAGGGTCAGTTCCCAAACCTAGAGAGTTAGGCTTCTGAAACCATACAAGTGAAATAGTGGTTAAATGAGAGAAGTATCACGTACCTCTGCCGACCACTGGTGCCTGGTACCCGAGAACCAAATGAGATGTGGTAAGGAACTCTGTGGGTATCTGGAGAGATTCCCACACGCTGGCATCCAGCCCACTCTGCAAATAGAGATAATTACTCAAAACATCCATTCATAGCAAATGAGATAAAGAAATATGATCTTGTATTTAGAGGTCAGAAGTGTGTATACCTGTGATATCATAGACCTTTCCATCCATCAGTGCAAAGTAGGTGATCTTGAGGCCCAGCATGCTTGACTCTGCCCAAAAGTCTCCCTCCTCAGCAGGATGCAGCCTATTACACTCAGCACAGTATCTGGCATTCTTAGGTTCCCGATCCATTTCAAACCTCCTGCAACCCAACACATAATTCCTTAATGCTCTTCAAGTGGTCATTACTGTCAAATACGGCCATACAATAAGTTATCTTTACTCAGCTATACTATCTGCCTCTCTATACTCTGCCTTCAACTTTCTTTTAGTTTGAGGCAGGGTCGTGGTATGTAGCCGAGGCTAGACTTGAGCATATAATGCTTCTACCTTAGACTCCTTAGTGCTAGTACTACAGGGGTATATTCCATACTCTGCTTTCACATTTCTATATTTAAACGATTTTTTCTTTCTTTAATGTCTTATTAGCATATAACACTTACACTGATTGCTTTAACTCTGTTTCACACGTGTACAGTGTATTTTGGTCCTTTACCTCCTATCACCCTCTCTCTTACTCCCACTGATACCCTCCTCTTCCCAACTAACAATCTTCTCCCATGTCCTGGTCTTTGTTCGTTTGGGGGTGGTGTAGTGACTTAATCAGTTTTATTAGGGTTGCTTACAGGGCATGGGCACCTTATCAGTAGCTATACAATTTTAGAAATTTTCTCTCGGGGGTTGGAGAAACGGCTCAATGATTAAAGCACTGGCTGCTCTTCCAGAGGTCCTGAGTTCCATTCCCAGCACCCACATGATAGCTCATAACCATATGTAATAGCATCTGATAGCCTCTTCTGGTGTGCACAAAGACAAGTCACTCATATACATAAAATAAGTATTTAGAAAAAAAATTCTTTCTTCCAATAACTATTAACTGCCTATAAATCCTCAAAAAGGTAAGGCCTTGTGAACCCTTTGCTAATTATATGATATATATACCCTCAAACAGCCATACTAATGCTAAAGATTTTTACAAAGGTAATGCTGACTGTAGGACTTGAATATTGCATGTCTATAGCCAGATTACCTTGGACTATCTTTAGCCCCTTTAATCACCATTCACTGTCCACTGTGTTTTACCTTACAACCTTGTGACCATTAGGTAAATCCTTTGGGTACACTAACAGACCACTAGTTTCCACCAACTCAGCAGGCTAAATGTGAGGCCTACCTGATATTCCCATCAGTGGAGTTAAAAAGTATCTTGAGGTTGGAGAGATGGCTCAGGGGTTAAGAGTGCTGTTGCTCTTGCCAAGGACCCAGGTTTAATTTCCAGCACCTACATGGTGGCCCACAACCATCAGTAACGTTGCAGGAGACCCAACTCCCATTTCTGATTTCTGCAGGTACCAGACACACATGGTGCATATATATACATGCACTCAAAACACTTGTACACACATAAATAAATCTAAAAGAAAAAAATTAAGAGCTTAATTTATAAATTTTGCTCTTTAACTATAAAAATATGATTAGTATGATGGCTCAGTGGGTAAAGGCATGTGCCACCAAGCCGGATGACCTCCGTTCATCCCCAGGGTTCACATGGTAGAAGGAGAGAACTCTATCAAGTTGTCTCAGGACTTCCACACCTCTGTGTATACAGACATGCTTGTAAGCAAGCAAATATACATACGTTAATGTAATTTAAAAGATTAAGGAAAACCTCAGGATCTGGAGAGATGGCTCTTACAGAGGACCTGGGTTTAATTCCCAGCACCCAAGTGGTGGTTCATAACCATCCATAACTCCAGGTCTAGAGAATTTGATACCTTTCTATTTTTTAAATGGATGGAATCAGTATCATATTTTATTTGGTTTTTAAATTTTATTTCTTTTATGTGCATAACTGTTTGCATGTCTGTGTATTATGTGCATGTCTGATGCCCTTGGAGGTCAGTAAAAGGCACACTGGGTATCAGATCCTATGGGACTGGAATTAAGGATAGTTGTGAGCCACCTACCATGTGGCTACTGGAAATTGAACCTGGGTCCTCTGAAAGAATAGTGCTCTTAACCGCATCTCACCAGCCCTTGATGCCCTCTTCTTCTGACCTCCTCCAGCACCAGGCACACAGGTAGTATGCATACATATTGGCAAACTCACATAAAATACAAAAAAAAAATTGTAAAAAAATAAGTAAATAAAAACTTCCTGAAACTGTTAGCATGTTTGAATGAGGTTAGGCATATAACCAGAATCTATGTTCCCAGGCCAAGGCATTCCTATGTGGCTACCGAATTAACTTTTATTCCCTTTTGGTGAGATAGGATCTCACATAGCCCAGCCTGGCCTTGAACTTGATATATCGCTGGGAATGATCTTGAACCTCAGACCTTCCCACTTGTACCTCCTGAATGCTGGCATTATAGGCATGTGTCATCACACCTGCTTTGAGAGCTGTATTTTGGCATCAGTGATTGAAATCCTCAATCTTTTTATTTTAAAGATTTGTTTTCAGCCTGGCGATGGTGATGCACGCTTTATCCCAGCACTAGGGAAGCAGAGGCAAGTGGATCTCTGTGAGTTTGAGGCCAGCCAGGTCTACAGAATGAGTTCCAGGACAGCCAGGACACATAGAAAAACCCTGTCTCCAAAAATAAAAATTAAAAAAAAAAAGAAACATCTTTTGTATACTTTTTAATATATGTGTGTATGCATGTAAGCATGCGTGCATGACTGCTGATGCCCTCAGAGCCAGAGTCTGCCTAGAGCTGCAGTTATACACAGCAGTGAGGCATCTGCTGGAGGTGCTGGTAGCAGAAACCAGATCCTCTGGGAAACAGCAAATGCTCTTAACCGTGAGCCACCTCTCCAGCCCTAAATCCTGGGTCTTAGTAGTAGGGCAGACATGGCACACTTGGGGTCCTTTTACTCATCATCTGTGCGCCAGTCATCAATGACACTCGGAAGAAGGTCTCTGTCATCTCCTGTCGTCCTGTTCATACCTATGCTTTCCTTGGCATCGGCTGCACATCATGGTATTCATTGCCTCTTTGAGGTCATCCTGTAGCTTCGACAGAAACTCATTCACTGACCGGCTCAGCTCATTCTCTGCCATTCGTTTCCTAAAAGGAAAAAGGCTTTGTAAGTCAGCTTATTAAGGTACAAAGAAAGACAGATCTGGATGCCTCCTCAGCAGTGGTTCTCAACCTTCCTGATGTTACGATCCTTTAATACAATTCCTCATGTTGTGGAAACCCCCAGCAATAAAGTTATTTTTGATGTTACTTCATAACTGTGATTAATGTCCGATATGCAACCCACCTAAAAAGAGTCATTAGACCCCCAAATGGGTCACAGTACACAGATTGAGAGCCACTGCTGATATAGGATTCCTCTCTGTATGCTATG